CCCGTAGCAATGTGACATACTCCGCAGGTGTGGAGTCGCTCATGCTCACTCCAGGCAGCTGCAGTACAAAGTTTTCTGCTCTAACAACAGTTACAGTAAATGGCAGAGAGCAGAGTGTAGGAGCAAACCAACAACATCCTTGGTCCAAAAGAATGTTCCTGTATTCCCCAATTTGGATGCAACTGTTATCAAGCAGACACTGCATGCACGATGCATGCAGTTGAGTTTGACATCAGGGTTGCCAGATAAACATGAATATGGTTTTTAACCCCCTCCTTTTCTGTGTACATGTTCACCAAACACAACACACACGTCATCTTACAACACGCGTACTCAGCACAGATGACAGTATGTGTCAAAATACAACAATTTAAAATCAACAGTACAAAAGTTCACTATTTTCTATCTGGCAACCCTGCTTTGCATAAAAACTACAGTCAATCCAAGTGTGTGTTGTCCTCCCCCCCCCCCCCTTTTTTCGTCCCAATAAACATTGAAAAAACGCAAACATTTCCAGAGATCGTTCTTGTGAACACAGGGCCCATTTTGTCAAATCGTGACACATAATTAGTTTTTACTAAATGAAGATTGGGATTTTAATAAGTGTGACTGAAGGAGGTTGCATGGTGCAAACCTGTTCGTTGCTCAGTTTGTACATCAAGTACAAACAAAACTAGAGTAAACAACAAAAACAAGTTCTCCATTGACTCAAAATCCATTATAAAAACTGGAAAATATCTTTAAAAATGGTGGCACTACTGTCATATATATATATATATATATATATATATATATATATATATATATATACAGGTCTTTCTAAAAAAATTAGCATATTGTGATAAAGGTCATTATTTTCCATAATGTAATGATAAAAATGAAACTTTCATATATTTCAGATTCATTGCACACCAACTGAAATATTTCAGGTCTTTAATTGTTTTAATACTGATGATTATGGCATACAGCTCATGAAAACCCAAAATGCCTGTCCCAAAAAATTAGCATATTTCATCCCACCAATGAAAGACAAGTGTTTTTAATACAAAAAACGCCAACCTTCAAATAATCATGTTCAGTTATGCACTCAATACTTGGTCGGGAATCCTTTTGCATGAATGACTGCTTCAGTGCGGCGTGGCATGGAGGCAATCAGCCTGTGGCACTGCTGAGGTGTTATGGAGGCCTAGGATGCTTCGATAGCGGCCTTAAGCTCATCCAGAGTGTTGGGTCTTGCGTCTCTCAACTTTCTCTTCACAATATCCCACAGGTTCTCTATGGGGTTCAGGTCCGGAGAGTTGGCAGGCCAATTGAGCACAGTAATACCATGGTCAGTAAACCATTTACCAGTGGTTTTGGCACTGTGAGCAGGTGCCAGGTCGTGCTGAAAAATGAAATCTTCATCTCCATAAAGCTTTTCAGCAGATGGAAGCATGAAGTGCTCCAAAATCTCCTGATAGCTAGCTGCATTGACCCTGC